AAATGCCTGGAGTGTGGAAAGAGCTTCAACCATGCAAGTGAGCTAACTTACCATAATAGGACCCATACGGGGGAAAAGCCATATCAATGTACAGTATGCGGAAAGAGCTTCAGTCAAAATGGTAATTTCAATTTACATAAGAGGATCCACACGGGAGAGAAACCATATAAATGCACAGAGTGTGGAAAATGCTTCAGAACCCCTGGTTCCCTTACTTGCCATAAGAGGATTCACACAGGGGAGAAACCATATGAATGTAAGGAATGCGGAAAGAGGTTTAGTAGGAGCAGTTCCCTTTTTTTCCATAATAGGATACACAAAGGGGAGAAGCCGCATAAATGCCTGCAGTGTGGAAAAAGCTTCAGTCAAAAAGTTCATCTTAATTCACATGAGAGGACCCACACAGGAGAAAAACCATATAAATGCCCAGAATGTGGAAAGAGCTTCAGTAATGCACGTAACCTTATTTCTCATAACAGAATTCACACAGGGGAGAAACCATATGAATGCATAGAGTGTGGAAAGTGCCTCAGCAACTCTAGTTCCCTTTTATCCCATAAAAGAATCCATACTGGAGAGAAACCATATAAATGCACTGAGTGTGGAAAGAGCTTCCACAAGAACAGTCACCTTACTTCCCATCAAAGGATTCACACTGGTGAGAAACCATATAAATGCATGGAGTGTGGAAAGAACTTCAGTCAAAGCGGTCACCTTAATCTCCATAAAAAGATCCACACAGGGGAAAAGCCATATAAATGTACTGAGTGTGGGAAATGCTTCACCGGGTCAGGTTCCCTTACTTGCCATAAAAGGATCCACACAGGGGAGAAACCATATGAGTGCAAGGAATGTGGGAGGAGCTTCAGTCAAAAATATCATTATACTGTACATAACAGAATCCACACCGGAGAGAAACCATATAAATGCACTGAGTGTGGAAAGAGCTTTAGTGACACTCGTGAGCTTACTTCCCATAAAAGGATCCACACAGGGGAGAAACCATATGAGTGCAAGGAATGTGGGAGGAGCTTCAGTCAAAAATATCATTATACTGTACATAACAGAATCCACACCGGAGAGAAACCATATAAATGCACTGAGTGTGGAAAGAGCTTTAGTGACACTCGTGAGCTTACTTCCCATAAAAGGATCCACACGGGGGAGAAGCCATATAAATGTGTGGTGTGTGGAAAGAGCTGTAGGACTTGCAGTGACCTTACTTGCCATAAGCGGACCCACACTGGTGAGAAG